CCTCTGTGATGCTCGTCTGATCGATTGCATCCCTCAGTGCAGCTCCAAGAGGGCCCCAAAAGGGCCCCAAGAGCGCCCCAGAGACCCCCTAAAAGAGCTCCCAGAGAACTCCAAGACCCAAATCTCTCTGTTCACCCTAGTCGTTCGCTTCGTTGTGCTGACTGTGTCTCGTCGTCACTCTTCCCGCCAGCTCTCATTGGCAGAGCTTCTGAATGGGCTGGTGGGGATTCGGAAGCGTAAACAATTGCACAACCCGTACCTCGGGTCGGGCAAAAGGGGGGGATAGCAAAGGGGGGGTTTGAGAATCAGCTCACGTAGCTGATTTTCCCGGCGCCTCCCGGCGCCGGGAGGCGGCTATGTATCGAGGAATGGGCCCCTCGGTGAGGCCGAAACCAGCTGCATGCAGCAAATTTCGTAACCCCCCCTTTCCCAATCCACCCCTTTCGCCCGGCCCGAGTACCGCGTGATTCCACTCAGTCAATATCCTGCTAACATTGTTCCTGCGACCTCTCACGGACCTCTTCGGCCCAGGTGAAGCGGCGAGCGGACTCTCCAGGGCCCAGGGGGCGGCGCACCTCATTAAAAAAGCCGACGAGGATAAACAAGGAAGCTCCGAACAATCAAGCGGGGCGCGTACGGTACGTGACGAAGGACGTGCGAGGCAAGCGGGGGGGGGGGTCCAGGGAGCCCCCTGCAAGAAGAGCCCACCCACGGCCGTCTGCTGTCTGCTGCCCCTCTCGCACGGGCAGTCTGACTGCCCCCAGCCCTCTGCCTCCCCCACGCATCCCCCTCGCTCTCTCCCTGACTTCCTCGCGTTCTCTCTCGCGCCCTCACCCTCCTCCTCCTCCTCCTCCTCCTCCTCCTCCTCCTCCTTTCCCCCCCAGCCTCCTGCCTACCTTTAGAGGCCTCCCAGATGGGGTCAGAGTAGATGTGGTCGGGGGAGCGCGCCGCATCGCCGATACGTCGGCGATACATCGGCAATGCATCGGCGATGCGCCGGCGATGCATCGTCGACGTGGGCGATGCACCGGCGACGTCGACTTGAAGCAAGTCGGCATCGAGCCGCACTGGCGATGCGGCACGATTATACGACCCCATCTACAATGCGGGCGCGGCCGCAAGAAACCCAACCCTGAAAACCCGCGCGCGAGGTGAAAACCTGAGCATCCTGAACGCAGCAGCTTCTTCAACGGTTGCGGGAAGTCACCGCGCAGCGTGCGGAGCGAAGAAACCCAGGATACCCTGACGAAAATCAGATGGTTTCTTGATGCGCCCCCCCACTGTACTCGGACCCCGTCTACTCGGACCCCATCCCTGGCCATCGCTCGGACGTCCATTCCCTATCTTTTTTGTTCGGTTTCGTGCGTGGATCAAGCATGCTCCTCGATGGTCCTCGCCGGAGAAACAATGCACACGTCCGAGCGATGCCAGGCATCTGGGAGGCCTAGAACTAAGTCGGGCCTGTCCCCCTACAGGGGGATTTTCGACGAAACATAAAAAAAACCAAAAAATAATCAAAACATCGTCCAAACATAGTCTGGGGAATATTTTTTTTTTTTTGTTTACCTTTTTGGCATATTTTTGGGGTATTTTTCATTTTTCGTCGAAAATCCCCCATGTAGGGGGACCACGCCGCAGCAAGCCTAGAACCTCGCCTCCCCCCCCCCCCCTGCACTGCCCCTCCCCGTGCCTCCGCCCCGACGGGCTCCGCCGGAAGCGCGGGCGCGGCCGCTCTTGGGCGTGGCTTCATGGGGGGGTCACAAATGGGGGGGTCAGAAACGGTCCCCTTTCGTGCCCCTTTCGGGCCCCTCTGGAGCCCCAGGGGGCTCGTTTAGGTACCGTTTGGGTACCTTTTCGGACCACCCTTGCCACCCCCCCATTTATGACCCCCCCATTACGCAACGCCCCAAAGGTACCCAAACGGTACCTAAAGGGTGGTCCGAAAAGGTACCCAAACGGTACCTAAACGAGCCCCCTGGGGCTCCGGAGGGGCCCGAAAGGGGCACGAAAGGGGACCGCTTCTGACCCCCCCATTTGTGACCCCCCCATTAAGCCACGCCCAAGCCGCTCCTGGAGGGACGTCTCCGGGTGCCCCTCCCGCACGAAGCGGAACTCCTCCTGGGCGGACGCCAGGCCTGGCGGCGGGCGGGGGGGGTGCTCTTTGTTCAAGGGGACGTAAGACCTGGGTACGGGGTACAGGGACCTCGGAAATCCCCGACGACTCGGAAATCCCCGACTCCTCCTCCTTCCTCCTGCCCCTCCTGCTCCTCCTCCTCCTCCTCCTCCTCCTCCTCCTCCTCCTCCTCCTCCTCCTCCTCCTCCTCCTCCTCTCGGATCCCGGCTAGGCTCGCCGTCACCCCTCAGGGGGACGTAAGACCCGGGTACAGGGGACTCGGAAATCCCCGACGAGGTCGTCAACAAAAATGACGAGGCCGAGCCTGCATTTTGACGAGGCCTCCCGCTGCAGACATCCCACGAAACTCCTCCTCGTCAAAATCCGAGGCGCGGTCGTCAAAAAACGATGGCGAACCCGAGTCCTGGCAAACCCGGGTCTTACGCTCCCCCGACTTGTAGAGGCCTCCTAGATAGGGGGTCCTAGTAGATGGGGTCGAAGGATCGCGCCGCATCGCCCATGCATCGCCGATGCATCGACGACGCATCGGCGCTGCATGGGCGACGTCGGAGGCACATCGGCGACGTCGGCGTGGAGAGAGTCGGGCTCCGCATCGAGCCGCATCGCCGATGCATCAGCGATGCGGCGCGATCCCCTGACCCCATCTACGCCGACCCCATCTGGGTGGCCTAGAATTTAGGAGAGGCTGGAGGAGGAGGAGGAGGAGGAGGAGGAGGAGGAGGAGGAGGAGGAGGCTGGAGGCTGGAGGAGGAGGAGGAGGAGGAGGAGGAGGAGGAGGAGGAGGAGGAGGAGGAGGAGGAGGAGGAGCTGGGCGGGCGGGGGGATTGCTGGCCATCCCCGGCGAGGGAGCGAAGCCGATCGCAGGCGAGCCCTCGGCACCCAGGTGAGGTCGGGCACGTCCTCCTACAGGCGGCTTCTGGACAACGAGTTGTGAAAAAATGGTCCGAACATCTTCAAACATACTCCAAACATAATCGAAACATCGCTCCCAGACTACACCCTGCGAAATGCTTAAGAAATCATGGGTTAAGAAATTCATAGTCTCAGAAATAGAATAAAACCCAACATTTCTATTAAAATCTTGGGATTTACATTGAAAACTTAAGAATACTCGAGACTCTGGCCGAAAACTTAAGTTTTCTTAAGCATCGTCTAAGGTGTAGGTGTCTTGTCTATTCTGGACCACTCCTCCCGTCGAGGGGCATGCCCGACTCAACGCTAAGGAGAGGAGCAGGCGCAGAGGGGGAGGCGCTCCCCCCGACAAAAAGGCACTCCGCTCGTGCTGCTGCTCCGCGCCCAGCTCCCTGCTCGGGCCACGGCAGGGCAGCCCTGCCCGGGCCCCCTCGAAGCCCCGGGCAGCCGAGAGTGAAGGGGAACTGAGACACACAAATAAATACACACAAATAAAAATAGTCCCCATATTTTCCCATATTTTCTGGGTGTTTGTCTTCCCCCCCACTTCCCATATTTTCCCATATTTTCCTGGGGATCGACGATTAATTGTGTCTGTGTGTTTTTTCCCCTCCTGAGAGAGGTCGCGCACTCCTTGGATCGGGCAGCGCGGCGAGCTGCACACTCGGTGCGACGCCGCGCAGCGCGGCAGGGGATCCGGCAGTCTGGCGCCGAGCGGCGCTGCAGGGTCCAGCAGTCCGACGGGGCGCGCGTCTGAGGGGCCAGCCAAATCCCATCTCTTCAGGGCCCGATAATAAGCACCCCGATAATAAGCACCCCGACAACGCAACCGTTCAGTAAACGCACCCGACGAAGGAATCGAACAACAAAGCGCTGCTTAGTAAACGCACGGGGCCATTTACGAAACGCCGATTATGGGGGTCGGGGTGGATTTGTCCTCGCTGATTCAGGGCCCGGCAGTCTGGCGCTGAGCAGCGCTGCAGGGTCCAGCAGTCCGACGGGACGCGCGTCCGAGGGGCCAGCCAATCTCCGTCTCCTCATCCCCCCCTCCCTGTTTCAGGGCTGTGGCGACATCAACCGCGTCCGCATGCGGCCGCGCCGCCTGACCAAAAGGAGCTTCGCCTCAGGCAGCCTGCAGTCAGCACCTCGAGTGGACCAGGCGCCCAGGATGCCTCACGGCTCCAACACTCGGGGGCAGGCAAAAGTGCTGGTCGGCCGCCAGCTGGCGGAACGGGGATTGCTTCAAGCAGACTACCCACGTCTGTATGATCCATCGTGGCATTTTCAACGCGCACCCCACGCAAACCCACCAGACGTCCAATTCCGCCATCCGCCCCACGCGCGTCGACCCCCTGGGGAACACCAGCAGGTACTGACACTGCTACTCCCGGGCCTCTCCCGGGGTGTGTGAGACCAGAATGTCGAGGCGAATCCAGCGGCGGCGATGAGGGCCTCCGAAGAGGCCCGACAAGGCGAAAACGAGGGACAGTTAGCGGTATGGGTACCTCTTCCTCCTTCGATCCCCCTCGAGATCCAGCGCACGGGACCCTCGAACCTCGAAGCTGGATGCATCGAACCTCGAAACTGGAGGCGGAGCCGGCGAGGGCGGGCCTGCGCGCGCCATGGCAAGGCAGCCGTCGGCAGACTCGAGGCACCGGGACACGTGCGCCCTGAAGTGCTTGCCGTAGCCGAAGCGCCAGTTCTTCTCCTTCCGGACCTGTGAGTCTGAACATCGGCTAGAAGACGAAGGCTCAGAATCGAGACAACATCGGACCGATACGAATGGAGAATCTCTGAGAATCGGCGGGCTTGGAGAATGTATCGGGCGCCGCGGCCGTTCCAGAGTTTAACATCGGCGGCCAGCTCGGGGGGAGAGTGAAAGTGAGAGGGGGCGGGCCTTCTCAGAAGGATCGGGAGTCCCCCGGCCTTCCGAGAACTGTTCTCAGCCTCCCCCGAGGACACAGAAACCCTCTCAGAAGGCAGGGGGGCGTCTGAGAAGCACCGCCGCCTTCTGAGAAGGCCTTCTCTTTTTCACTTCCCCCCTCCCTCGCCGACGATAACAACCCCTATCCCCATGAGCGCGGCCGAGGCCCCACTGGCCGATTCGTCCCCCTAGACGAGGATATAGGCAGTTTCCTTCGGGTTTCGAGGGGCATGTCCCCAACTGGGGTGGGTGGGATGGTAGGGGTCTGGATGGGGATGGGGATGGGGGGATGGGGAGAAGGGTCGGTTAAGCGATACCAGTGTGGGTCGGGGACGCGCGGTGCCCCTGCCCCGGAGCTTCTGGAACCATTTTCTTCTTATTCGATTCGCAATTGCGCCCGTGACTGGCCCCGCCCCCCCTTCCCCCTTCCTGCTCACGTCACGATTCGCGCCAGCGCCATGTTGGAACTGGCCATTCCTAAGCATTCTCAGACGGCGACGGCGCGAACCGTGACGTGACCGCCCCCCTCCTCCACCTCCACCCCCCTGGGGTCGCGCCCGTTATCGCCAAGAGAGGTCTCCGGGGGGGGTCCCTCGTCGCGCACACGGCCTCGAAACTCGGGGGGGGGGGGCCCAAGCGGTGCGGTGACCACACCGTGTGGTGCGTCAGTGGGGATTCGGGGTGACCGCACGGCTCGGGTTGGGACTTGGGTCCTTCTCCGAAGACGTCGCGGGCGGCTGGGGCCTCCGAAATCCCAGGACCGTGCGGCGACGGACCGTGCGGAGAGGCCCTCGGGAACTCCGAGGTCACCGCGCGGTCTGTCACCGCAGAATTGCGGGACCCCGAGGGATCCTGGTCGGATGCGCTCCAGGACGGGTCCGAGGGAGACACGGGGGGGTCGAACCTGCTCCCAAGGAACTGCGTGCATTGGGAAGTCGAACCTGCTTCCAAAGCCAACTTCCCAGTACACGCAGCTTTTTGGGGGAAGCCGGTTTTTGGGGTTAGCCAAAGCCAACTTCCCAATACACGCAGTTTTTTGGGAAGCCGTGTTTTTGTTTACGTAGGGGGGAAGCAGGTTCGACTCCCCAAGCAACGAGCCCTTCCCTCCCCTGACCAGTCCCCCGCCTCGCTCGCTGGCTCGCGGGCCGCTCGTTCCCTCCCCGGGAAAGCCAGAAGGTACCGAGAGCGCTGCTCCCCCCGGACCTCTCCCGGGGGTGCGCTCTGACCAGAGTCTCGAGGCGAGTCCAGCGGCGGCGACGAGGGCCTCCCAGGCGGCCCAACGGGGGCGAGAACGAGGGAAGGGTAGCAGCGTGAGATAATTACCCTGTCGTCCCTGGACCTGCCTCGCTTGCTTGCTCGCCGTCCACTCTGTCCCTCCCCTCCCCATTGACCCCTCCACTGGCACCACCATGCTGGAAGCCTTGGCTGCACTGGCGGCCTGCGACTGCGCCGCCTCTGAGTAGTGCCCAGAGCCTCCTCCAGAGCGCACGTTCACATGGCTTTGGCGGGCTCGCGACTCGCTGCTCGCTCGTTCTGCAGTCCAAACTGATGGTAAGGATACGCGAGAAGGATGCAAGCCCCTCGTGCGCCCATGTCAAAACTCTTCCAGCGCCGCGGGCCATCGGAAGTGGTTGAGGATTGGCCGAAGAGGCAAGGATGCAAGGGCACCTACCCTTGAGAAGGGTGCCCATCCTTACCATCGGTTTCGATTGTATGCTGCGTCCTGCGTCCTTGATCCGTCCCTTGCCCGTACCCCAGTCCATGCCTACGTCCCTGCAGCCCGCCCTCCCGCCCTTCCATTCTCCTCCGCCAACTCTGGGAGACGCAGGACTCGGGCTGGGATACTCGGGCTGGCCTCACGTCGAGGAACAAACAATGACATGAACATACACTTCTGGAGCTCCACGAACATTTCCCGGATCGGCGCTGGAGCCCCCTGGCGACGCCTCCTGCGCCGCCCATGGCGCGCTTCGCGCACCAGGAAGAGGGTTCTAGCACCAATCCGAGAAATCCGCGCGGGCCTCTCGAAACGTATATTCATTTCAGTATTGGTTCCCCGATGATGGGGCCGCCAAGAAAATGATGACGCGACCTCCCGCTGCAGGCATTCCACGAACAAAAACTGGACCGCCAACATCCAAGAAGGGCCCGTCAGACGGCGTCGGCAAGCCCTGTATTCTGCGAACTCGCGTCTTCCACTTCCCCGACTCACTCTTCCTCTTCCTCCCTCACCTCCTTTGCGGGCAAGATTGTATTCATATCCAGTGCGTCTTAGACTCTCTTGGAAGCGGTGTCACAAGGCCGAGGCGCACTGGACATGTATACAAGTCGAGCCTCTGGGGGCCAGACCTTTTGTCCGTGTCCAGTGCGCCTCGGGTTTGGGGGAACGGAGCCCGAAACTCCAAGCTGCAGCGGATACGGACAGAAGTATTGCCCGCACCTCTCCCTCCTGCATCGAGGACCTACTGACCCAGGTCAATCCAGACCCGGGTCGCCGATGCATCGGCGATACTTCGGCGACGCTGGCGTG